TTTAGTGCTGAAATGGCATGCAAAGACACTAAATCATGCAAGATCATGCAAACAACACATGCACAACATGTTAATAGCCAAAAGCATTGAAACTAGTGAAGAGCACTACACTAGAGGCATGCAACATCAAACTTAAATGACCAAATCAGCTCTAAAGAGAGCTTAAACATGCCAAAATAGTGGCTAAAATATATTGAGATTGAAACACAAAAGGCCATAAAAGCATGCTCACATGTTGGCTCGCAAGCACCACTCTCAAAATCAATGAAAGAGTGATAGAAGTGAGAGCATGACAGAGCCATGTGCATTGGAATCATGTGCAAAATGACGCTATGGCATGCTACCATCTCATGCAAAACATGTTAGGGGCCTTGAAACACAAAGCTAGTAAAGGTAATTACACTATAGGTATGCAAGGCAAAGCACATATGTCCAAAACCACCCAAAACAGAGCTAAAGCATGCTAAATCAATGGCTAAAACATGTTGAGATGAAGTCAACACAAGCTAGAATGATAGGCTAAATCATCAAGTATGCTAGGCTAGTAAGCATTATTGCACTGCAAGTACAAAAAGCAAGCGAGGAGTGCTCCAATCAACCAAAAACGTAGTTGAAGCATGTCAAAACAAAGCCAAAACATTCTTGAACTAAGCTACAAAGAGGTAGAAAAACATGCTTACATCTTAGGCCATCTATACTTGCAAACAAAAGACAAGGAGGGGAGGCCACCCCCTCCTATTTTAGACCTCTAAACCAACTTTTTACCACTGATATGCCCCTGGAATTCAGTGGTTAAAAGGCCAAGAAAAGGGGATTTCAAAGGCTTAGAAAGATAGCACAACACTTAGCAAACAAGCTACAAAAGAGGGTGGACCACCCCTAACTCCAAAAAGGCCTTCAACCACCATTTTTTAGCCTTAAAAACAGATGTTTTTGTAGTTGAAAACTAGGCCAAAAACTACGTGCAAAGGTGGCCAAACTAGTGTACAAAAATAAGCTTAAAAGGGGTAAGTCCTTACCCTTGAAGTACAATAGCAAAATAGCCACAACTTTGAGCTCAGACCAGCTTTGAGAGCTCACACAAGGCCTCCAAGAACCTCAGCCCCAAGGTGAAGGTGTTTGGCTATGGGTCTTAGTGCAAAGGTGTAGAGAAAACTCACTTTCATGCACAAAATAGAGTGAGAGAGAGAGAGAGAGAGAGAGTTCTAGAGAGAGAAGGGAATTTTTGCTCACAAATTTTCTAACCCCTCAAAATGGGGGAGAGACCTCTGCTTATATAGGAATGCAAGCCAAAAGGTTTTTTTCATCCCTCTATACACGTGTATGGAGGATGCATTCAGTGAACAATAGCTGGCACAATTGGCACATAAAATATCTGAAAAAGGAGAAAAATGGCCGTTGGCCATCACTAGTGGCCGACTGGCCATCAATGTAGCCGACCGGCCATGAACACAACTGACCGGCCACCACTGGTGGCTGGCAGGCACAAGTCATGGCCGGCAGGCTAAGGGGATGGCCGACAGGCCACCCTCTCCCTCCAGAAGCAAAGAAACAAGCATTTGGTCCACAACCAAGCACAAAACAGATAAGATTAGAGGCTCCAAGGCAAAGTGCTCAACCTGAGACCTTCGCAGACTCAAAACGGACACAAACGAACACAATCATCGGGTATTCAAACGATGACGTCCAACTCTTGAGGACAGTAAAAAATGGGGTGTCTACAGTTGCACCTCTTTGACAGAACTCGTAAGTCGTGAAATGATGAGAGTGAATGTCAAAGCCCAAATACGACCTATTTTTGACAAGGCCGAAGACTTAGACAAACAAGCAAGATAACATTACAGAACTGAGCCCGCAGGTTGGGGTAAAATGCAAATGATATGTACAATGCAAGCAAATAACTTATGATCATGCAATGAGGTGGCAACGAAACATCTAGATGCAAACGCCATGCAAAGAAATGCTACAGTAAACCCGAACATAAGCAAGTAAACAAGAACCCAAACCACATTTCTTGCAGAAAAGATGTAAGAAAATTATGACGCATCACGCAGAAAAGATAAAGAGCAACAACCGCCAGGCACACCCGAGGCGGCAAACAAGATTCCAACACGTGGCACACGCGAGGATAGAAATGGTGCGAACCTAAGGACATACCCTAAGGTTCCGAGCCACAGAGAACACATGATAACAATTGAAACGCATCCAAACATCATGCAATCAAAGCAAAGAGCAGTATAACCAAAGCATCCTAACGTGCCACGCGCGAAAGGGAAAAGGGAGTAGTGCAAACACCGAAGAGTGGTATAAACATCGAAGCACGTTCCAATGTTTCTAACCAAAGCAGAGTGGTATAAGCGTTGGACACACGTTCCAAACACTTCTAACCGAAAGGATGGTATTAACATTGGGCACACGACCCAAATGCTTCTAACCAACGGGGTGGTAGAAGCGTCAGACACACGTGCCAAACATTTCTAACCGGAAAGGGTGGTATAAACATCGGGCACATGACCCAAATGCTTCTAACCAACGGGGTGGTATAAGCGTCGGACACACGCCCCAAACGCTTCTAACCAGAAAGGGTGGTATAAACACCTGGCGTACCCAAATATTTCTAACCAACAGGGTGGTATAAGTGTCGGACACACGCTCCAAACGCTTTTAATCGGAAAGGGTGGTATAAACACCGGGCATACCTGAATGTTTCTAACCAACGGGGTGGTATAAGCGTCGGACACATGCCCCAAATGCTTCTAACCAGAAAGGGTGGTATAAACACCGGGCATACCTGAATGTTTTTAACCAACAGGGTGGTATAAGCGTCGGACACACGCCCTAAACGCTTCTAACCAGAAAGGGTAGTATAAACACCGGGCGTACCCGAATGTTTCTAACCAACCTGGGGGGGGTATTCAAAGGGCTGGAATGATCTTACCTGGAGTTCCTCTGAATGAACCATACATACAATATCGTCTGGTTGCATCATCTTTGAATGAACCGTACATACAATATCGTGCCTGCATAGGAAAGAAACTTTGACAAGTACAATACAATAGGAATGTATATTCAATGCAACATCACTAACCATGATACAATGCTTAGAGAGACACGCTTCATGCACATCATGCAAGGAATGAAATAAAAGCATATTCTATGCGACAAAACATGGAGCATGTTCTATGCAACAAAACATGGAGCATGTTCTATGCAACGTTGAGTGCACGTTTAATGCAACAGGTATGGACAATTCTATGCGAATGTAAAGGCATGCACAATGCAATAAAATGCAACATGCATATTCTATGCAAACATAAGAACATGTGTAGCGCAATGAAATGCAGCATACATATTCTATGCACAGTAACGATGCACATTCAATGCAACATCAATAACATGTTCAATGCAAAACGCCGAATAAAGGAATGCGCGTCTTAACAAGATCAATTCAGTTGTAACCTCCAATTTACCTGTCAGAGGAGTAAAAAGCAAGTTTAAAAGGATACACCTCGTACGTGCTGAGCATCACATACTGAAAACACTGTTCAGAGTTTCTGTAGAGGCCATTTGAGCTTAAAAAAAAAATGCACTTCCCTTGCACTTTCTTGAGGGATCAAGGCACAAACAACAAAATAACATTCAAGGAGAGCAACAGAAGCCTGCCGGCCACTCTGGGAGGCCACCGGCTCCCTATCGGCCACAAAATAAGTTCATCGGCCACAAATGTGGCCGTTCGGCCAACACTGGTAGCCGGTCGGCCACCGATGCTAGATTTGGGGCAATTTTGGCATTTCACCACGAGTCTTTAAATATAGGGTTCTAGACCCTATTTCCTCACTTCCCCTTTGCCGAAAAATACTCCCCTTTTGCTCTAGAGCACTTTCCCACTTCCGATCTGCGCTTCATACGCATTTTCGGACATCCCACAAACATCCGATTCGTGAAACCCTCTTAGGTCACAGTACTTTGAACCGATTGAAAAGTGGTTTTGGTCCCCTTTTCTTGATTTCCACCACTTGGGGTTTGTTTCCCTCGAGTTACCTTTGGTTTCGGTGCCTTGTTCCGAGCCTTGACCTTTTCTTCCATTTTTCCTCGCTCAGAGTTGACATTTTGTTCACTTTCGGCGTTCTCACCCATTTTCCACACTTACGACCATTCTTTCATTCTCTTTGAGATGGCGGACGACATTCCACACGACGGAGCTCCTCCGGGGTGGAGATGGATCCCGAGTTCAAGCCCTTGCTGCTCAGTGTTCGACCATTCAACCCGGCGACGTACCATCTTGAGGTACACGTGTTGCCTCCTGATAACATCCGCTAGTTCAGGGGATTCGCGCGAGGTGCACCAGAGGACCTTCTACTACGTGAGCCGGAGTCACATCTATCTCATGGTGCCTCAAAGGTATACACTTTCTCTTCATTTTCCACAATTCAGATTACAATTCCTGTATAGCTCACACTGCTTTTCACCCAGTCATTCCATACACACTTGTGCACTGCATCACTTACACGGCCTTGCATCTGTTTACCCTAAACATACCCTTGCATTGTATTTCTTACACTGCTTTGTATTTGTTTATTCTGTTTACAGGGAGATTCACATGCCTTCCATGGATACGGGACCATTTCTGCGAAGGAGTGGTATATGGAGCTACCTGACGCCATTTTCGCCAGATCGTTGACGAGGCCGACTTTGGTGCATTATGAATGGGGCTCACACGTCTCATTGCGAGCCGGCCTTTACTGGACGCCTTAGTAAAGAGGTGGTGGGATACCACCAATTCCCTCAATTTCTCTACAGCAGGGGAGATGACGATGACTCCTTTTGACTTTTCCATGCTCACCGGCATAGGAGTAAGGGGTCATCTGATTCCTTACAACACCGACATGGGCGAGTGGGAGGCTGCTCAGATCTACTTGCTGGGGATTCGCCCACCCATCTCTCGATGAGGGATGGTGCGATATACCTGGTTCGCTGATCATTTCAGAGGGATGATACCGATGACCAGTGAGGAGACCGAGTACTACGCCCGGGGTTTCCTCATGTTTCTATTTGGAACTACTCTGTTTGTCGACCGGGCAAACACCGTCGAGCTCTACCTCCTGAGTGCATTGGTGGACCTGTCTCGTATCCGACTCTTTGACTGGGGCGGCGCAGGCTTGGCCACATTATATGGGTACATGAGCTCCTCCTCTCGTTGGAGCGGGCATCTGCTAGGAGGCTACTGGAGGGTCTGGAAGGTATGTCCTACCTTTCTGCTTTACAGTGCTGCTTCGCATTTCCTGTACACCACACATACCGTATATTGCACTGTATACCACCTATTTTCTGCTTGAAATTATCTATACACTGCACACACTGTACACTGCTTTAGCTGTATTTATCTGATATATACTCACTATTATCCTTCCACCTTCTATAGCTATGGGTATATGCCTATTTTTCAAGGCTTTCCCCAGATCCAGAGGTAGAGATACCACCCATGGTGCCATATTCACACAGATATGACGGGAGATGTCAGCGGAGGCCACAAGAGTCATTCTCATTCTTTCGCCGATTCTTCGACACCGTGACCGCGACAAAGGTAACTCAAACCTTACAGTCATGTCAGCTTTACCTCACATTGCATTTATGATAGCGGCTAACAATCTGTATATTCACTATTCACAGGTCACCTGGCAGCCATGGGGAGTGATGCCTGATGGAGTCAGAGATCAGTTTGTGGGCGCTCAGGAGGCCTCTCGTTTCTGAATCTTGCTCGAGGGTTCGGTCTGTCAGGCGTGGTTCCTAGGAGAGCGATTTCTACGACAGAGCCTCAGCTTGCCTGAGCCAGTAGTCTCAATGCTGCCTCCATCATATATGAGGACTACAGAGAGGTATACCGCATAGGAGATGATTGACTTCACCAGAGGTTGGGACACAGACTTCTTCAGGCTTGAGGGCGATTACACTGCCTTCATTCAGACATATCTCATGCCACCTCTGACTGGGGCCCGCAGAGGTGATAGAGCCAGAGCTCCAGCTGCAACAGAGAGAGCGGAAGGATCCAGAGCATCCCGTACTCATGATAGGAGAGGCTCTTAGCCGAGATAGAGAACGAGGTGGCTAGAGCTGCCTACCACACTGACCTGCTGGGGATCCAGAGGGGAGACTTAGCAAGTTCCCATCGAGACTGCACCAGCTAGTTACGAGCTCATCGGAGTTCGAGGCCTGACTCCAGTATGTACCATACTTTACGTTTTGCACAATCAATCCATTTCAGTTATGCTTTGTAGACCACTAATCATCTTAACACATTAGCAGGCTTCCATAGAGTACACCAGATAGGCTCTCGAGTTGGCGGCCTCTCTAATGGGGATGGTTCAGACTAGTTTGAACCTTCTCAGTCTCTACAGGATTCCTGTAAGTTTCCTTCAGTTTGCATTTCTTGCCATGAAGTTCTCTGCTGATACATATTAGCATTTCAACTGTAATCTGCCCCATACTGATTTGAATACATTACATTATCAACACTGCGTTGATACACTGCTCCCACACACTGCATTCAATACTATACTCATATTCACATACCAATGACTGATGCATTTGACAAACTATTCTTTTCAGGTCCCTTTTCTGATGCCAGTTCCACCGGGTGCCCCAGCGGGAGCTGCAGTAGGACCTTCAGTGCCTCCCCCGACAGTAGGGAGAGAGAGGTGAGGGACTCCGGCGCACATCCGAGGCGGAGCTAAACGTACACATACCGAGGGCGGTCCACCAGAGCCTATCCTGGAGGATGATGAGACAAACGAGAGCGAGGAGCCAGCGAGTCCGCAGTCAGAGTCATCTGAGGGTGGAGGCGACGACACCAGCTCGGGTTCTGAGGGCGGTGGCGATGCTGAGGAGGGCTCCGAGGAGGGGAGCGGAGGTAGCTTTGGATCGGGCTCCGGCTCAGGTTCAGATAGTGGCGCTGATGGCGACAGCTCTGAGTTTGCTCAGCCGAGGAAGAGGACGAAGAGGGCCTCTAGAGCTGGAGCTAGCTGGCGTTGATTTTGATGCCTTTTTTTGCTTTGTTTTCTTTTTACCAGTAGTCAGCACATTGTACAACCTTAGGCAACTTTACTTTAAAACTTGTACTTTTTGTAAAAAGGAACCATGATTGGAATGAAAACAACTTTTTGTCAAAAAATGTTATATTTTGCATTCTCAGCATTCATTGCATCGCACCATTTTATACGAAAAATTGGATTGATGGAAATTGAAAATTGTATGACAATTGCTTAATCAGGTAGTGAATCAACCAACGCATAGCAAAAAGAGTAAAAAAACTCAATGAACAAAGAAATAACTCGACAACAAATACAACTCGATAAGCAAAACAACAACTCGAAAAGTAAAACAACAACTCGATAAACAAATCGACAAAAAACCTTAAAGAGTAACAGAAGAAATGCACTGAAAAGGGAACAAAATACAAGTCCTTGGTATTTTCAACACATGAATGGACCGAAGGGCAAAATAGAAGGCCACCGACCAAAAACAGATGCTGCCAGCCACAAAAAATAGTTGTCGGCCACTGGTACTGGCCGGTCGGCTACAAAAGTGGCCGGTCGGCCACCAATAATGGCCGGTCGGCCATCAATGTGAGGAACCTCCAGATTGTTGCCACCTGTCCTCCACTCAGCATCTTTTCTTCTGCAAAAGCTCCAGCTTCGGGATTTCTTCATTCTAACTCTATTTTTGCCCCAAATGGAGCCATTCGTTGCCCAAAAACTCTCAACTTGGATTGCAACTTTAGATGGCTCGGAAAAGTTGAATTTTCGAGGTTTCGGGATAAATGCACTATTCCTGCTAAGCCGCACTCTACAGTGTTTTCTATTCCTTCATGCCGTGGCTCGATGTTGGAATCCAGTCACACACGTTTTTAGCTTCGGGGGACAAGAGATATGCCCCGCAATCGAAGAATTCCAGGCTTTGATGGAAGCCCGGCGTGATGAGGAGATCTTACCTCAGTCCCGCTTTGGCCACACTCAGGCTTTAGGACGGATGTGTGGGCTTACTTTACATGATGCCCGATCCCTGGTGCACAACGAGGAGTTGGACATTTCGAGCTTGATTCATCATTTTTTTGATGCCGGTAACCGCGACGACCGTCTTTGGCAAAGTTTTCGGCAACACGCCCTTTGCTTATGTATGCTAGCTCATTTTCTGCTTGCCTCTGGCCTCGGAGGGTCTAGCATTCGCTTGATTGAAGTGGCCCAAAGCTTGAAAGAGGGCAAGAGCTACATCGGCTTGACACTAGCCGAGATGTTGATGGGTTTGAATGCCTTCCATCGCTGGGAGACGACTAGGTTTGCAGGAGGCCCACTACTCTTGCAGGTAATGCTTCCCTCCCTATCTCACATGCATTTCTTACATCACTCGGACCTCAAGCTCTATTTTTCTCTCAAACCCTTTACTCACTTTTCTCTCCACGTACACCTCTCTATTCTTTAATCTCTCTTATCTTTCATCCCTCCCCAGGTATGGCTGATGGATAGGTTGAAAGTAGCGGGCTCTTGCCCAGTATATTCAGCGCGCGACTATTTCTTCCGCCCATGGCTAGTAGATTTCCCGAACGAGGGGTGGTGGTGCCACTGGATGTGCAACAGATCAGCTGTCGACATTGCTTGGCATTGCCCCTGGTTTGATTTACCTGAGATGAGCTACAACATGTCTTGGCAGCCTGGCATCTAGTTGATCGGCATAACACATTGCGTCTTCTATTTTCCCTTCCGGTTCAGGCGTCAGTTTTGACATGACCAGATTTGCGGGGAAGATGGAGTAGAGTACCCAGGTTCATTATTGATTCGAGGCGCACAGGTAGCTCGCTACTTTACTGCTTGAAGGACAACAGAACTTTTGGCTCCTGCACCCACTTTTAGTTATGTCCTTTTTGGCGAATGCATAGCTTGGCTCGAAGATGAGGTGCAAATCGGGCCCACCTTAGCATCTGAAGCTTCCATGAGTTCTGGGAGGGGGTGCCGGAACACCTGACTTAACCATGCCCCAAGTTTATTGCTTTAATTAGTACTTTCAAGTTTTCTTTTTGAATGTAATAAAAAGCAACTTCAATTTGTATCAAGAGTTGGAGAACTCTGTATTGAAATCAAAGAAATTGAAGGTTGTGGTTACTGAAAATTTTCCTTATGGTCTAAAGATGGTCTAAATTGTGAAAAGATTAATTTGAACAAATAAACTTTTATTAAAACTTTTCAAAACCATTTTCGATATGGATCACAACTGGACACACCCGAAATCTATCCACCGAGATGTACAACCCCAAATCCCAGCAACTAGAAGGTTGCCCCTAGTGAGCACTGCACTGCACTGGATATCACAACCGAACTCTTGGGTGTAGAAAAGACGAAGATGACCAAAACAATCACGTGGATAGAGTTGATTTGGAAGTGTTTATGGCTGGACTTCAGAATGAAGTTGCCTACGTATCCTGAATATGGGAATCAAGCCTTACGTAGTTCGGTTCAGGTTCACTCATGTTTTAACACTCTCCTTTTACGCTCTAACATTTGCCAAGGCCGCCCTTTTTGGGTTTTCAACCTTGCGAGCTCAGTTTTTCTCTTTTCAAATTTTTTGTGCTCTAACTTTTGCCTCGGTCGCCGTTTCGGGTTTTCGGCCTAGCGAGCCTCTCAAGGATAGTATTTCTTCAACTTGTCCATGTCGATTGGTTGGGAGAACTCGAGGCCATCTAAGTCCATAAGAATGACAGCTCCACCCGACCAAATAGACTTGATGATGTAAGGACCAGTCCAATTAGGTCTGAACTTGCCTCTAGGGTCATGGATGGGAGCTCGGTTGTCTTTGAGCACCAAATCCCTTTCTTTCAAATTCCTGGACTTAACCTTCTTGTTGAAGGCCCTGGAAATTCTGCGTTGATAACCTTGGACGTGATACAGTGCTTTCAGCATCCTCTCATCAAACAACATAAGTTCCTCGAACCTACTCTACTGCCAATCGGCCTCCGCTATCTGGCACTCAACCATCACTCGCAGCGACGGTAGTTCAACCTCGATTGGAAGAACATCCTCCATCCTATAAACCAAGGAATACGGAGTTGCCCTAGTAGAAGTGCGAATCGATGTTCTGTAACCCCAAAGAGTAAACGACAGCTTATCTGGCCAGTCTCTGTAGGTTTCCATCATCTTCTGTAGAATGTGCTTGATGTTCTTGTTGGCGGCCTCAAAAGCTTCGTTGGTTTGCGGCCGATATGTGGATGACTTATGAAAAGCCACGCTGTACTTCTCCAACAAGTCGATCACTTCCTTCTTGAAGTGGGAACCATTATTTGAGATGATCTCATTCGGGACCCCATAGCGACAGATGATATTGTTCCTGATGAACTTGGCTACGTGCGATGCTTTCAGCACTGTGTAGGATTGGGCCTCGACCCACTTTGTAAAGTAGTCTATCGCCACCAGGATGTACTGATGCCCGTTCGGCCCGTTCGGAGTAACTACCCCAATAACATCAATTCCCCAGACTGAAAATGGCCATGGCGAAGTCATGTTGTTTAGCATTGACGGCGGAATGTTCATCCGATTTACATGGATCTGGCATTTGTGGCATCACCGAACAAAACCAATACAATCCTCCTCAATGGTTGACCAGTAGTAACCATGTCTGAGGATTTTTGGACCTAGCATCACTCCGTTCATGTGCGACATGCACTCTCCTCCGTGGATGGCCTCCATCAGGCACTTCGACTCTTCAAC